AGATTGAGCCTCAACAACCCACCTGATGCCACCGTAGTGCCATGGCCTGTTGAGTCAGGTACCCCTTGGTCTACTTTGCACTGACGTCTGTGTTCAGCACCAGAAATGTCCAGTGTTCCATCAAAAATGACTGAAAACTGGACAATAGAATCTGACCTTGATTTTACTTGCAATTTCTTGAATCATTGTATTGGCCATGATCTTCAGAATTTCATTCTGTTCTTTGGGTCTTGTGTAATGGCATCGCCCTCCGCAGCCCTAAGTGAGAAGCTGATCAATTGACCACTTATCAGCGTAGCTGTGCTGCTGTCTTGCCACGTGTCTCTTAGAACTAACATTTTTTTGTAAACAATGATGCGTCACCTCTTGCTGCCATGTGACTTATAGCTGGACAGTGATTGGATCCAGCTCTCAAAGTTACATTCTGAGGTTGGATTTTTTGAGTTCTAGTAAACTTTAAATCTCTAATGACATTTTTTCATCTTCCTGCATCAGGTTTTTGTCTCATTAAAGACTGATTTGAAAATCCTTTGCTGCAGTAAAAATACAAGACTCACCTCAATGTTGGACTGTAATGGAACCACGGGAAATAATTCAGATCATTATGGAGGCTGCCAGACTTGGTTGGTGGTGAATTTTTTTTATTAAGTCTTAATTTATTCAAAACATCACAAACAAAACAACTTACTGGAAGACATTTTACAAGTAGGTAGAAATAAGAAAACTGGTGAATAGAATAGTATCAGAACTTAATGTTCAAAGTAATTTATTAAAGTTACTGTTGTAAATAAATATGTCTTGATTTGTCAACATTGTTAACTGATTTTGGATTTTGATAACTTGGGTTGGATGTAAATTGTTTGCTTTAGGTATAAATGCTACTATGTGATTTGGCAAAATGGAACCATAAAATCACCTAATTTAGACAAAAACATGCGCAATACTTGCAGGCACTATTCAATCAAAAGGACAACTGAAAAACCTGCAATCAGTAACAGTAAGTAGTAAATTTTGTTGTGTTAATGCAATTTGACGTGTTTCACCCACAAGGTATTTTTCCGTGGGAAGACGCAAACTTCCCATCAGGTCTCAGAGCGTTAAACTTCCACACATTTCTTAGGATTTTCTGCCGTGCGCATGTGCAGTGTGAAGGAAAAGCAGGTTGTGAAGTATGAGGTGATCGGGTTTTGTGATCGGTAACCAATCATCATGCACAAGTGATCATGCACTTTTCCACAGAAATCGGCCAATTATGATCGGGGGCTGATCAATCGGCACACCACTACAAACATTCCCTGTGAACAAAGGGAAAGGCTTATTTTCAAGCAGGTTTCAGAACCAGATTTTTGTGAACGTTTCCCAACTTGGTAGTTCTGCAATAGTTTGCTGGTTCAGGTCCTGATATGAGCATGAGACCATGTGAACAAGAGCTTGTAATCAGACTGTAGCATTGAACTGATTTCACTTCTTCTCCCACATCCTGTTGTACCTGGCCCATTACCACATGTCTTTGGTTTCTTTTTATGAGTTTAACTTTTATAACTGTAAAAAGTAGAGCTGGACAAAAAAATTGGGCATCACACTTGATAGTGTGCAAAGGAGGTCAGGCAGACATATGAACCAGATGTTCCGGAACAGACACATGTAAAATATGTAGGGCAGTGGTACCTGATTACTAGAATTCAGACACACTGTTGTTGAGGAATAATAAAGCGCAACCAAATCCTGCCAAGAAAAGAAACTAAAGTCTTCTGAACTACTGATAACCCCGTATAGTCACGCCATACCTTGGATATATAAGTCCCTGAATCACAGGAGTTTCAGGACAGAGAAGCAGAGTTACATCCGGAGCTGCACAGCAACTTACAGACGCCAACATGAAAGCTCTCGCAACTTTCTTGGTTTTGCTGAATTACTTTACCAGATGTCATGGTGAGTTCTCTTCATATTTTCAATTCATAGGGTGATTAATACCTGTCGTTACCAGGCACCTTACAAATACATTCCAATTTATAATTGGAAGATGAAACAGTGTTCTATGGGTCTTTATTCCATTTATTTTATGTGGTTCTTCTCTACAGGTTGGATCTGCACTACTGCTCCTGAGCACGCTGCTGCAGCCCAGGTTGATGCTGGCAATGGAATGGTTGTGATGACTGATAAAAACTCCAACGCCTTCTTCTTGAGTGATTCAAGTTGGTCCAAACTGGGCTCTGTTCCTCTCAAGCATGTCACAGTGGGATATGCAGGTGTCTGGGGAGTCGACCTCAACAACAATGTCTATAAATTTGCAGCTGGTGATTTCTTTCCTACTCATGGTGAGTATTATGTTTCAGAAACAGATTTTACAGGTTGGCCCTGATTCAAAGTTTTCAATAGTTTAGTGATGCTGTTTGTCTCTTCAGGTCTAGAGTTAATGCAGGTGGATGCTGGAGAAGGTCAGGTAGTTGGAGTTACCAGCCAAAACAGCATCCATTGCCTGAAAGCCAGCAGTGCCTCTTCCATTGAGGAGGAGGGAGTCTTGAACTGGAACACCATTCCTGGGGCATTGATGTATATGAGCTGTGGTCCACTCGGATGCTGGGGAGTGAACTCGGGTCAAAACATCTTCTTTACGGTAAACTTTTGTCTTACATCTCTTGTTGTAGCTCCTGATATAACTCTCATCCACTAGTAACCATCTTTACTGTTTACTTTAATAGAAAGTCTCACCAGATAACTGCAGCATCAGTGGCTGGCGTCAAACAGATGGTGCTGCTGTAAAAGTTGAAGTTGGGACTGATGGAAGGGTCTTTGTTGTAATTCAATCTGGACATGTCTATGAAAGGTAAACTCAACAATTTTGAAGTGCAAGTGCAGACAGTACAGAGAATATGACTTAGACTTGAACAGTTCCAAATAAGAATCTTTCTCTTTCCAGAACCGGTATCTCTGAAGCAGTTCCTCAGGGCACAGGTTGGAGCCAAATCACCTTTTGTGTGTCCATCAAACACGTGACCTATGACCTGGGACGTCTGTGGCTTCTGACCAACACTGGTGTCATTCTGAATTGCATCTAATAACCAGCTGGAAGTCTTCACTTCACACATTCTGTTCCTTCTGATGAATTTTTTGGGTTAATCCCATGTGTGATTTATCAGTAGAGGATCTAGAACAGCAGAAGTCTCCAGGTTAATCATGATGAGGGTTAAAAATCAAGGTGGGGATAGAAGTTAGTGTTAAATGATTATGCTATAGAGGATTCCAAGAATGCAGGAAATAAAAATAAAGTTTAAAGTAATACTTTTTGAATTGACATACAACAGTTAAGTTGGAAGTTTTTTTTGTATTGGTGTTCAACCTTTCAGCCTTTACAAATAAAACATTCAAATGTGATTTTAAGGAAACAATAAACTCTTCCATTGATCAACAGAATGTGTTTGATCGCAATTATTCTTTAAGACTGGTTTGTTTTACTCAAGGAAAAACAATTATCTCTGTGTGTCTCTGCTTCTCTCTCTCAAAGTGCTAATGCAACACAGTAAAGTACTTCCAGTCCTAAACAAAAGAGCAGGTAGAAAGCAGCATTACAATAAAGATTCTCATGCATTTTTTATTTTTTCTTCAGTTACTTGCAGTTGATACAGTGTCTAATAATTTTTTACTAATGAAAGAGTAAATTGTACAGTCTAGTAAAACTACTAAAGTATATTTTCCCCCTCAAAAAGTTACTCAGGTAAATGTAACTGAGTAACTAGTTTACTACTAGCTGTGTATATAGGTCAGTTCACTTTGTAAAGTCAAATCTTTTGGATGTTTTAGCATCAAACAAACTTGATTTCTGTCACAATAAGAATCAAAGCTAGTTTGCTTTGAAACAGCTAAAGTTTTCTCAGCACCATATAGTGGTTCCCCAACTGCTAACACCATGTAGCACTGATTTTAAGGAATCAACAGGGTTAAAAAATAATTCAACTAAGGAGTACATGCATTTCTATCCTTGGACCTCCCTGATACTCAATAATTGCTACCTTTCCACCTGAACACAAAATATGTCCACCTTACTCCTCTGCATCATGGATCATCATTAACCAACTCTCTAGCTCAGTGTTTCCCAACCCTGGTCCTCAAGGCACACTGCCCTGCATGTTTTAGGTGTTCCCTTGCTTTAGCACAGGTGATTTCAATTAGCAGGTATTTGCTTGAACTGCAATCAGTTGAATGAGGTGCATTAAAGCAGGGACATTTCTAAAACATGCAGGGCAATGTGCCTTGAGGACCAGTACCATGTTGGTCACCAGCACCAATGGCAGATCCAGTATTGAGATCTTGTTCTTGACTCACATGTTAGATTTAGCAAATGTTTAATGCTGGATGCCCTTCCTGACACAAACATGTACATTTATCAGGGCTTGAGACCTTCAAAAAAAGACACAATGTCCCCTTTGTGGCAGCATTATTTGGCTGCCACAAATTCAGATTATTATGGAAGCTGTCACAAACTTTGCTGATAGTGGGTGTTTTTATGAATTAAGTCTTAATTTATTAAAAACTATCCAAGCAAAATCACTTACTGGAAGCCATTTTACAAGTAGGTCAAAATAACAAAAATCTGGTAAGCAGTAAAGTATCAGAACTTAAACTTAACGCTTAATTAATTTAACACTCATTTCCACTATAGAATTAATTAATTTAAGTTAGTTTTCTTTATTTATTCATATCTGTCATCACTGTGTATTGATTTAGCATTTTGTAAGATTACAATTTAAGTTTTTGATTAAATTTTTTTTCCTGCAATAATTTCATTAATTACTGAAAAGCCTGATGTCACATATTTAAGCAACATATTTCTAGTTTTGTCTTTTTACAACATATTATTCTCTGAATCTGGTACAAGGTTACCAGAATTTAGAAACATGGTTCTGAAAGAATAAGGAAGTGCAACGAAATAAGGAAGTGCAACCAATTCCTGTCCACAAGCTAAATTCCTCTGAAGTACTTATAACCCCGTATAGTCACGCCATACCTTGGATATATAAGTCCCTGAATCACAGGAGTTTCAGGACAGAGAAGCAGAGTTACATCCGGAGCTGCACAGCAACTTACAGACGCCAACATGAAAGCTCTCGCAACTTTCTTGGTT